TCTTATTCTCTATTTAGTAGATTTGAGTTTTTCACGTTTTGCAGTGGAGAAAAACGAATCTACAACTGCCGGCGGTGGCGGCTCATTCAGAAACACTTGCGCGGCGGTGCTGCTGACCTGACTCGCATTTGGTATGGAAAATGGCAATTGCATCATCGTTTGTGCGCGTGGTGTTATGGCTCGTCGGGGAAGGCGTTGGTAAGGTGTTTCGACGGGGGCAGTCTGCTCGTTGCACATTTTGGGAGGCGGCTGGGGCTGGTTGAGGTGAATTCATGATATGTTGGGCTTAGCTGTGTACACAGCGAGGGACGACTCGTCGGTGGTTGGTCTTCATTTTCTGGTAGCGCTAGGGTTCAAAAGGGCAAAACCAGGGTTTTCAGAATGACTATAGCTGTCTAATGGGTGCTGATGGCACCGTGAATCAAAGGGTCGTCGCTAGGGTTCAAAAGGGCTGATCTAGGATTGAGAATGACTATAGTTGTTTACGGATTACAAGTGATTATGAGATATTACATGCGACTGTGAAGTTGGATTCATAACTTTGATGACTACAACGAACCTCATGTTCTGCATTTATTGACATAAAACAATAAAAAATAATTAAAAGTATATAAAATTAAATGATTATTTAAAGTAATTTATAATATTATGTCAGACATGAAAAATTATGGTTGTTTTTATAGTGGAAAAAAATACTAAAATAAAACAGAAAATATATCTTTTGTTATAATAAAAAAAATCTATTTTTTTTCTGAAATTCAGCAAAATTTGACGAACACTGTAACAAAATTCTATATTCAATAAAAAAATTGTTAAGGCAAAATCTGAATTATGTTGAGAGAGTTTTAGTAAATGTAGGACATTTTATTTTAAAAAATAAAAGGGCTAATGGCAAAAATGCTCATCACATGGGACTTAAATGCATTTTGGTCCAAAAAAAACAGTCTCTCAATTAAACTCATCCCCATGTCTTTAGTCTAAAATACCCTCCATAATATAATTCTTATCAATTTCACCCATTATGCTCTAACTTCCTTAATATTACACATTGACCCCGGATTTAAACAAATATATCACATTAACCCTCAAAATTATTTTTTTTTAAGAAAATAATATTTTTTCTGAAATGTTTTTTTTTCCGGCAAGATTCCGGCGTTGACTTTTTTTTTTGAATTTTTTTTTAATTAATATTACTATCTTGACTACTAAATTACTGTCCCAGACATTAATATTACTATTTGGGACAGTAATATTATGAATATTATTTTCCTGTATTATTAATATTATTGTCTAAGACAGTTTTTTTTTTTTTTTTTTTTCGGCCAAAATATTTTTATTCCATTTGTATTGTCTAAGACAGTTAAATTACTGTTGGATACAGTAATTTAGCAGCCAAGGTAGTAATATTAATTAAAATATTTTTTTTTTAAGAAAAAAAAAGTCAATTAACAGTTAAATTACTGTCTCCGACAGTTAAATAACTGCTGAGACAGTAATTTAGCAACGAACACAGTAATATTAATTAAAAATATTTTTTTAAGAAAAAAAAAAGTCAATTAACAGTTAAATTACTGTCTCTGACAGTTAAATAACTGCTGGAGACAGTAATTTAGCAACGAATACAGTAATATTAATTAAAATATTTTTAAAAAAAATCAATCAACAGTTAAATTACTGTCTCCGACAGTTAAATAACTGCTGGAGACAGTAATTTAGTAGCAAAGACAATAATATTAATTAAAATATTTTTGAAGAAAAAAAAAGTCAATTTACAGTTAAATTACTGTCTCCGACAGTTAAATAACTATCAGAGACAGTAATTTAGCAGCCATGACAGTAATATTAATTAAAATATTTTTTTAAGAAAAACAAAATTATGAAAAAAAAAGTCAACGCCGGAGACCGCGGTCAACGGCAGTTGACCGGCCGGAAAAAAAAAATTTGGGGAAAAAAAGTTTTTCAAAAAAAAAAAAAAGTCAACGCCGGCGACCGACGGTCTCCGGTGGTGGCGGGTCAAAATTGGAATTATGGTTAAAGTTGGTTAATTAATGAAATTAGGCTAAATTGGGGGTGTAAATCATGAAATTGGAGTTGAATTGGGTTTCAATGAATTGGGGGTAATTTTGGTATATATAAAGAGATTTTCCTTATTTGCAAATAAGTTTGAATGGGCTGGATTTATTTGAGAGACAAAAAAGTTGGATGTCTCTCTTTTAATTAAGTGCCCTTGTCATGGGCCTATTTGTCATTTACCCAAAATAAAAAGCTAATATATATCCCATCTTATTTTTTCAAATCTCTTTATTTTAGAAGTTTTTAACGACATTATTTTGACAGAATATCACACGAAGAGTTGTAGTAAACGTAGACACTTTATTTAAAATTCAAAATCTATTATATCTCACATCTTATTCTTTCAAACTTTTTTTTATAAGTCAACTTTGACATTACTTTGGAAGAATATCACATAATTAATCATTATTAATCACCAATAATATGGATTTATTGATTTTGGAGGATGCTACGGCTGACAGTGAGATTAAAAGTGAGATAAAAAATTCATTTCGGTTCGAAAATAGTTTCCTTTATGTGCCAAATTTCTCTTTTTCTGTTTTTATGCCAGATTTTATAATATATATTAATTCTTTTACTAAGTTGGACCAGGACAATCTCAAGACGTTTAAAGAAATCGATTATAGTGAATATTTTCCATCGGACAAAATATTTTGTAGTATAAACGAATTTAAAGAGTTTCTTTAGATGTGTTTGAAATTGTAGATAATAAATATAGTTCTGTAGACAGTTAATGATAAATATTGGTTGAGATTAATTTTTGTCTAAAATGTCTATTAACTACAAAAATACGTTCTAAAATAGGGATAAAAAAAAAATGCCTACATTTACTAAAAGCAGGTGGTTCTGTATTCATCATTTCTTGTTTTAGAATGAACTAGTACTTCACCCGTGCGATGCACGTGGAGTAAATAGGAACAAAAAGGAATAAAAAAATTATTAAATTTATCTTTATGGGTAAACCGCGTTATGAGTTAATATCATATCATTTAAATAAATCATTCAACTATTTCATAGAATGCAATATATACCATATGAATCTTATCCAAAGTAACTGACTTATAGCAATAGCGCAATAATAGAGAAGTCAAGCAATAGAGATTCAAAGAACCTGCAAGATTATCATTTCCCCAATGAAAATCAATTATATTTGAACACAATTGTCGTAATATTTGTGATGCGAGGGCATATTGATATAAAAAAGGAAAATTTGCATTCTCATTAAGGTGCGTTGCTATATTTCTTTATGCACGTATATAGAATAAGATTCAATACATAACTTATCGACAAATAAATAAATATCTTAAAACACCAAACATATGTAAAATAATATTGAAATATACTTAGTAGAGAATGTGGTCGAGCCTCATGATAGAGAAGATGGTCGAGCCTCATGGTAGAGCTTAATACGTACAGTCTGAATTTGAAACAATAATAATTAGACTGGCCCATATATTGCACCTGCAAGAAAAAAATGCACTGAACATTGATACAAAATACTAACTTTTTTCCTAAAACGAACTTGCAATTGTATGAGATGGCTTTGAACCACATTGTTTTAATAAGCAAATTTTAGTATAATGTACAAACCTCTCTAATCATAGCGTTAAGTCAGGATTTTGAACAATAACCACAACTCCATCCATAATTGCTGGTGCAAGCGTCATATCAGCCTCAGATGCAGATCAGAGATCATCTCAGATATTTGTCGCAACATTGTTATTACCCGTAAAGGAAAAAAAAGAACAAATTACAACTTGTGTAGAAAAAGGAAAAGTAAACCTAATTAGAACATCTTCAAAAACTGCATACATATATCTGCGACAGATCATAACACAAATGGCCATTTTTTCAACAAAAACAAACATCTGGTCAAAATCTAATACTCCTTGAACCACTACACAATTAATATAGGTTCAACAAAAATAATTCTATTACTCCATATAAATTCGCTCATAGTACACAAAGACCAAAAAATTTAACATGTAAAATTGCATGAAATCAAAAAACTACATCTAAACATAAAATGGAGTATTTGAAAAAAAAAGAGAGGAAAAAAGTGAAGATTATATAGTACCTTTGCATAAAATAAAGAACTTTTGTTGCAAAACCCACTGGCAAAAGATGTAGAAAAATGAAACTCTGTTTGCTCAAAACTAGAGGTTTCAAACATTCTTGTGCCTAGACGAATTCAATAGTTAGAAGATTTAGGGTGGCGCTTCAATTTTCGGCGAATCAATAATTTTGTAAAGATTTATGTGTGAGATTCTTTCAAGGGAACGAAATACTAAATTATAATTCGGGTTGGTATACAAATGTGATATGCAGTTTGAATTGAGAAGTTATAAGAAGAAGTTTAGAGAAGAATTGAGAAGTTATAAGAAGAAGTTTAGAGAAACTGATGGAATGAAGTAACGGGAAAAAAAATTGTGAGAGATTACAGATGTAGTTGGGACGGAGTTATATAAACGTATTTTATATTTTGCAAAATAATCCTGCGACTATCAAAAAATTGAAAAACTAACCCTAATTAGAACATCTTAAAAAACTGCACACATATATTTGCGACAGACCAAAACACAAATGGCCATTTTTTCAATAAAAACAAACATCTGGTCAAAATCCAATACTCCTTGAACCACTACACAACTAATATAGGTTCAACAAAAATAATTCTATTAACCGTGGAAGAAGTTGAGGCGAGAAGACGCCAAAAGTAGTTATACGAACGTGCAGATTGAAAACATTGTATGAGTTTTTTTTTTTTTAATCTAAAAATAATCCTAAGGTTATCAAATAATTACAAAAAGTGCCCTTAGGGTTTTGAAACCCTAAAAAGTGCCACGTGTCGCAATATTATGACATAAATTGTATATATATATATATATATATATATATAGATATAGATTTTATAAAGCACTTGTAGCAAATTTTTGTGGTCATTTCACCAAACTCTCATAATCTTAAGCCCCAAAAAGAAATTAAAAGAGGCAAACGCGACCAAATGAAACCCCAAACCAACCTCTACACCCCCATCTAAACATGGTCTCCGTCACTGCCACAACCACCACTGCAGACGGCGGCGGCGGCGGCGGTCTGAAATTGGATTCAATACCCATTGTGGATCTCCGTCTTCTCTCCCAATCGGAACTCTATTCCCTCTCCCTCTGCTCTTCTTCCGCCTTCGATCCCTGCCGCCGTGATGACGTCGTCATCCCCAACATTGATCGCTCCGTCTTCAACGAGTCCGCCGGTTCCCGAAAACAGACTTACTCTCGCCTCCGTCTCGCTCCTCCCTCCTCATCCTCCTCCGCCGCCCCTCGCCGCCGCACCCCCCATCTCCGCAGCAGCGCCGCATCCTTAGCCAACGCCATCGACAACAATAATTCCGACCCGGAAAATGTCGAGAACGCCCAAATCGTTACCCTTCTCAAGCAATTATTTGTCACCGACGTGAATTACGAGGAATTGGTCCCTGTGAAAATAGATTACTCAAATTCCCTACCTCCTCAATTGGTTCCTGTCAGAATTGATTACTCAAATTCCCTACCTCACCGTCAATTTTCACCATTCCCTTCCTCCAATGTGGGTCCCACAGGCCAAAAACGAAAGCGCGGACGCCCCCGAAAGAATCAACTTTTAGGGAGAGACGAGGATTCTGCCACGAGGGCAAATGTTGTGAATGTGGACGAGGCCAACGGATTTTCTTCGTTAAACGAGATTGTCGTGCATGAGAACGCGGAGGAAAGGGATCGGGAAGTGGTGAATAAGGACGGAGTGGCTGTGGATTTGGTCGCGTTGGGCATGGTGGAGCATCCTTACGGGGAGGAGATTAGGCGTCGGACGCAAGGGATGCTGACCGAGGATGAACTGTTGGGATTTTTAAAAGGATTAAATGGATCGTGGGGGAGTAGGAGGAAGAAGAAGAGGATTGTCGATGCTAACGAGTTTGGGAGTGTGCTGCCAGTTGGATGGAAGCTTTTACTATCTATCAGAAAGCAGCATGGTCAAGCGTGGTTGTATTGCCGTCGCTACATAAGGTTCTTTTTTTAATCTATTTTGTTGCATATTAATTGATTCCGCGTTGCTTTATCTACAACTATTAGGAAACCGTTTATACCGATAATAAATGCATTATGGACATCAAATTTTGGTTACGGAATTAAGAAATATTCGGTTATATTGGTGTTTGTACGAGGTTTTCAAGCTAAATTTGTTGTTGGTGGAGTACTCGTGTAATGAGATTGCGTATACGTATGTGATTGCATGTGGAAATTCTCGACTTAGGTTGGTTGAGAATCAAATTAGGATATCCTTTCTTTTGTTGACGTCCCACCTAACAGCGCCCATGCATACTTGCTTATTTATTTTTACGATCTCTAATAAATAAGGAACTATTCAGAAACTAAGTTTATCGTCATCTGTCCGATAATAGATCTTCCAAATAATTTTCTTAAGGAAGTATTCTGAAACTACGTTTATCGTCATTTGTCAGATAATAGATCTTCCAATTAGTTTTCTTAGAAAAAAATTAAAAAAACTGATTTCCGACGATAAATTTCTTATGTATTTATTGAGAATACCAGATTGTGATAGGATTACATAATATCTCATAGTACATTTAGGTTGTAAATAAAATAGTTTATAAGCTTATTCTTTTAAAAAAAAAATTCCTGGCTTGCTCTTTTTTCTTGTTAGGGTTTCTTTTGTTTAGGGTATTTTGTCTTTCCTGCCAAAATGTTAGTTATATACTGTCCAATGTTCAATGTCCAATGTCCACTGTCTTATTAAGTTTTCTTATGTTCAAACTCAATTTCTATTTTGCAGAAAATGCAAACGAATAATAAAAAAAATGATTTCTTTTTTGCCTATTATCGATGATTTTTCTATTATATGTCTGTCACCTATTATTTATCTGCTAGTCAAATTTAATTAGGCGACTCATTAGGCATACTATCAGTTACCCCGCCGGCCGACCAGCTCGGACAGAATCAGCTAGGATCTATCAACTGATTCTGACTGGACCATTATTCAAACTTCGGTCTTTTCTTTTTTTAACAATCTGAGTGATGCTATCACTTGACATGGAGTGTTAGAAAATATTTCATTTTACATTTTATTGGAATTTTAAATAGACAAGGTTCGGTTCGGATACAACTCAAAATTAATTTGTTCTAGCTTATGGATGTGTTAGAACATATTTACACGTCTATTCACGTTCAGAATCCATGTCTTAGTTAGGAGATTTTTCTGTCTTTGATTTGTGGTCTTTGTTATGACTCGTTTCCCATCTTTATATAAGACTGTACTTTTTCAATAATAATATATTGTCTGGCCTCCCTATAATTCTGTCTGACTTGTTATCTTCTTTTTGAATATATTTTAATCTGTTTCCAAGAAATTCTCATTTGCTCTACTGCCCTTGGAAATATGCCTATCTCGCCAAGAGTCGGCTAGGGGCAAGTTTCAAGAATGTCAATTCTGTGATTATTAATTAAGTTTATATTATTTTGTTAATTACAGCCCCAGCGGACTGTATTTTGTCTCATGCAAGGGAGTTTCTTCGTATATGTGCTCTCTCTATGGTATCCAAGATACAAATACAGACAGCCTTGCTCAATCTAATGGGACGGTCAATGATGCCGATAACTTGACTTCTGTCATGGTACGTTAGCTTGTTTTTGCCATTTCCTTCTTTATTTGTTTTTTTCTTCTCAGTCCTTCATTATTTTTCCTTATACTTTTTGTTCATTTTTGTCACGGGGAATGATCCAGATTGCAGATCCTGCTGTTCAGGGTGACGAAAGAAAGGAAAACATGGTTCCCCGTGCATCTTCACCCACTTCTGGTTCCATATCTGGCAATCATGAGGTGCAAGCTGTAATAAATGCGGGTGATTTGCCGCAGGACAGGAGAGGGGAAAATTTATATTGCAACAAGTGTAATATAACTTTCAGTGAGAAAGATCAGTTACTGCAACACCAATCATCTGTTCACCGGAAAAACAGATGCAAAAGTGGTATGCGCATAACTGATGGGGTGATAATAAAGGACGGAAAATACGAGTGCCAGTTCTGTCATAAGACATTTGACGAAAGGCATCGGTACAATGGTCATGTTGGTGCCCATGTGAGATATCAAGCTAAAACTGCTGGAGAATCACCTCTACAGTCCGGTGATCCCGTTTCTTTTGATCAGTTTCCTATTCGAGATACGACAATTGAAGGATCATTAATGTCTAATAATAATGTACAAATTTGTAATACTATAACCAGTAATAAAGATATTGAGCATGTTGGGGATGTAAAGGAAGCAAATGTGGGTGTAGCTACTGATATGGTTACCAACGAAAATCCATGTTCAGTTGCTGAGGTTCTCTGCTCCAACGACGAGGCCAAAAGTTTCCATGAAGATGCACGAGTGAAGGGTTCTGCTGTTGAAATAACTGATGATGGTTCATCTTTGCCCCTTGACGCCTCATTACATGGTGTTATGAATGGCACTGCGTTTGAGAATTCTACTTGTACAGAGAAGCCCGAGCAAAGGGAGGTATTTAATAGGAGTTTATTTGATTCAGATGGTCCTGTGGAAGAATGTGAAGTAGTTGTAAATAATCAGCCTATTTGTCAGACGAGTAATGATATCAAACTTGATTACAAGAATTTTGCAGTTAACGGGTCCGCATTGGATTTTTCTGGGAGGTATGGTGAACAGGACGGAGATTTATCTCGTAGTATAAAGCAACAGAGTAATTTTGAGAGCATGCCCTCTAAGAATATCGGTACCAGTGACAGCACATCAACATTTAAATCGATGGCATCTGAACTTACCAAAGATCCTAAAACCATTATGCTTCCCGTTGCTCACGAGGAGAAAGAATGTTTGGTAGACAATCTTACCTGCTCGATAGGTGAACGCATTGAAACATGTGAGAATGGTAGTTCTATAGCATGTGACGATGGTGTGAGTAGGCAAGTGCAATTCGGAATGAGTTCTGCCATTCCAACTTGGGATAGACTAGAAAATATGTCCGGAAAGGATGATGCTGAGGCGCTCACTTGTGTGTTGAAGCAGCCTGGTGTGAACACGTCTGAAAGAAGGTCAGCCGATTTGTCCGGTAATCAAATCATGTATGGTTATGAAAAAAATAGTGAAGAAGTTTGCGGAAGAAAGATGGAAGCACATGCATTTGATGATTTCCGAAATCTTGGGAACGTTGAATCAAGTGATCCTTTCCGCAGCAATCATGCTGTACTAAATTCCAATTCCGTGGGAGGAAATGAGCAACGTAGGGAACTTGGAGACTGCCCTGATTTTACATCTGCAACTGATAAAAGGTTCTTTACCGAAGATAATATGATTAGTATATTCAACGATGCTTTTGGACAGAACAAACAAGATCCATCTGGTGTTTCAGAAGGTTGTCACGAGGCGTATACGTCGAGTAAGATTTATGGTACCCCTGCTAATCCCTCTGGACTCGGTGAAATCGAAGATATCGGAAAGTATGGACTAAGTCTTTCTTTTGATAATCGTCAGACAGAATTTTGTACAGATTCTAATAGGGTTGACCAGGAAAGGTATCAGGCAGATAGTGTAAACACTCAATCCGCTCTCCGTAAAACATACGGTGATCAAACACATTTGAATATTACAAATAGTAGCACGCCTGGTGATCTGAAACAAGGTAGATCTTTTGGAATCGATTTCCCCGATTCATCCTTCAACATCACAACTTCTGAACTCGGCAGTGGTTTCAACCAAGTAAGGGACTGGAGTGGACAAACAAGAGGCAAGATGGCAGCAACTTCTGGCCAAAATTTTATGATTGGGTTTCAGAACAACAGCTCACAGTCTGGTGAGTGTGTGACAGCTGGCGGTTCTTGGAGAACAGGTCAAGAAAATTTGTTTCAAGGTTGTTTTGATGCTCCCGTAGGTCAGCAGCAGGTTCCAGCTTCAAGCTGCTTTCATAATTTTGACATTACTTCAGATAAGGTATGTTTCAAGGATCTTCTTGTTCAGTATTAGATGAAGGTAGCATTGGTCTTATATATTTATTTTTGAATTGTTTCGATCCCCATAACGTAAAGCCGGTCCAGAATCCAGATGATGCTACATCTGTAGACATCTTATAAATTTTTTTAAGGAGCTTATAAGCTCAACCGAATATCCCGAACAATACTACATTCGTCTATAATTTAATTTTTAACTTATGATCAGTAAACTTTACCTTTTTGAAAATTAAATATTGAATAGTTAGTTGTTTTTTTTCTGAGATATTTTGGTGATAATAGATGTCAATTTTGCCTGTTCAGGAAATTCGGTTTGTCAACTGTTTGTCAATGTATCAAATAATTTTGTTAGTGATTGTCACATTTTAATTTAAATTACTAAAGACATTAATGTTATTAGTCCTTGTCGTAGGAAACTTGTCTTACATACAAAAAGAAAAGTGTGCATCCAAGCCAAGAAATAAAAGTTGAAGTAAAAATCTGGCTAATATGTTTTGCATTCTTTATAATGTAATTAATCTGGCGAAAATGTCTTGTTTTCTAAGTTTGGGACTAATATAATTTTCGCCATCATCATGCAACGTATTTGAATGTGTAGATATTTTTTGTTGGTTTATAAATTTAACAAAACATTGCTATGTTTGGAAAAATTGGAATTATTTACTTCTAGTATTTCAGAAGTAAATATTTCAGATAGACATCCTTAATGCTGACATATGTAGTAACATTTTAATGTACGATTTAAAAGGTAATCATTTTATATTTGCTAACGTAGGATTTGGGAGATTCACATTCATTACATCCGTACTACGAATCTTACTACAGTTAAACCTCTATAAATTAATACAATCGGGACTAAGGAAATTCTATTTATTTTGCGAATTCTTAAATTATCGAGTTAGTAATTTAACACGTTTTCACCGAGTGGGGACCGAGAGAAACTATTATTTAATCGAGGTTATTAATTTATCGAGGTTCTACTGTAAGTGTAAAGAATGAATAAGCGGAAAGTGAAGCATCTTTGCACTGATATTTTTTTTTTTCATTTCGTAGTTAGAATGATATAATTTTTTATTCATGAGCGGGAAACTAATTGAATTGGTTAACATCGTTTGACAAATGTTGTTTGCCAGTTAGTTTAAAGAACTTGCGTAAGCTATAGACGAAATATCTATGTTTCTTGTTCAGCTATTATATTCATGATTTCTCAATAATGTTTATATGTGTATGCAGGGTGAAGAAGAAAGTCCATTTAGTTTGAACAAGAAGTATGATTTTCACACAGACATGTTGCGGCCCGGTAGACCTGAACCAGTGGAATACAGTTTTATGGGAGAGCAAAGCTCAAATACCTTGTCTGGAGAATCGAAGATTTTCTCCTCGTTCAGTGAAAATATGGATCAAGGATTAGATCACTCATTTTGGCTCGGAAAAGATGATTTAATGCCGAACGCATCTCAGACAACATCAGTTTGCGTTTGGTGCAGGAACATCTTCTTTCAAGACACTGTTCAGTCCGGAATACAAACTGGTGCCATAGGTACTATGTGTCCATCTTGCAGTACCAGAATTCCAGGACAGTTTTAAACTTGCTTGTACTCAAACTATGTGTCTAAAGACTACATGAAAGTGTTATTAACTTCGTCTAGTTAGTCTTTTGAAAGGACGAGCAGAACTCCGTCTGGACGGATTTTTACCTATAGACTTGTTGAAACTGGTTAACCAAATTTTTTTTGTATCACTTTTTTTTTTTTTAATAGAGGACTCAAATTTAAAGTGTCACCATATTGAGGTTTAATCTTTCATTTACTGCCTTTGATTGTGACCTATAATGTTTTTAGGATAAATTATCAAACCACTTGCCCGTAAAATGAAAATGCGAATTACTGAAATATATGCTTCGTCTAGGGCTTGTTATGAAGTGTATTTTTGTACCGAATAGATATTTACTCTCTCATTCATCCCCGAGTCGTGTTCTGGTAAACATATTTCGGAAATTTTAATCCAGAACTCTGAAATGTAAATTCATGTGAATCTTGGGTTTGTTGTTTGTCATCAACTTTAGAGTAGTCATTTTTACATCATAAACATCTTATGTCTAGGGGTGCAAGATGGAACGGAAGTTCCAATTTTCGCCGGTTCCGATCAAAAAATTTCCGATTTTGGAACAATTTTTTTTATTCCGATTTCCGAATTTTTCAGATTTTTTCAGATTCCAATTGGAATTTAGCCGATTTAATTTCTGAAATTAATTCCGATTTTCTTCCGAAAAATACACCTATAAATAACATATATTAATACTTATTTTAAATTTTTTTTGGTTTTCTAAAATAGTAATTTGATTTTAGTTTTGTTTTATGACTTTGACATATTGAATTGTTGTTAGGAGTTTTATTGAAGATTATGATGTGGTCTATTTTTTTTTTTTTGAACTGAAATTTAGTAGTTACTCCCTCTTTCCTATTTTATTTGTCTTTCTAGAGATATTTTTTTATTTCAAAATAATTGTCACTTTACAATTTCAATGGCACATTTATTGTGTTTTCTCAAATTTACCCTTACTACTATTAAAAGAATTAATGATGGAGCAATAAATAAGAGTGATTTTTTAGTCGTTTTATTATGATTTTTGTAGAATCCATGCACATTTATTGACTTTCTTAATATGTGTGCATGAGCTCAAAACGACAAATAAAATGGGAAGGAGGGAGTATTAGTTTTACTTTTATCGACCTGGATTTTCTTATTTTCGGAAAATAATGAAATTTTTAGAAAATTTTCGGTAAGTTTTGAAATTTTAAAACTTATTTGATTTTCGATTTTTTTTTTCCCGAAATTCCGAAATTTCCAAGCCTTTTGGAATTGGAATGATTTTTTAGACCGAAAATTTTGGAATTGGAATTGAAACTAATATTGTACTTCCGATTTATTTTGAAAATTTTCTGAAAAGACTAATTCCGATCCGATCCGATCCGATCCATCTGACTTTCACTCCTACATCCTACTTATGTGTGATTTAGAAAAAAAGGAACGTAGATGTAGTAGGCTTTGCAAAGGTCATCAAGTCTTCCAAGGTTGTTGATGTGGATCAGTTTGATCGAAAGATTTGAAATTAATGGATTTAAAATATAAGGCTTTTTGTGCACAATTCCCCAACCTAGCATCTTTATTATTCTAGGTTTAGGGGTTATATCTCTTTCACCAATAAGTCCCTCCATTTAATATTTATTATAAATAAAGGAAACATTCATGTATATGACAATATTACGTCCAACCCTTTATACCCAATTCTTAATTGTAACCCCAATTTAATCAATTTTAACCACCAAAATCCAATTTTGACTTTTCAATTTTTTTTTTCTTCCGGATTTTTTCGGCGTTTTCCGACGTTGACTTTTTATTTATTTATTTTTGACGTCCGCCGCTAAACGTTGACTGTAGCTGTGCTGTCACTGACTGTAAATTAACGTAATTATACTGTCAATGACAGTTAATTAACGTAATTGTACTGCCGTTGACAATACATTTATGTAATTGTTCTGCCGTTGACAGTAAATTAACGTAATATTATTATTTTTTATTTTTTGTTATTTATTTTTATTTTGTTTGATTTGTTGACAAGTCAACGTAATTATATTACTGTCGTTGACAGTAAAATAACTGTAAGCACAATAATATTACTGTCAACAACATCAATATTATTATTTTTGGGTTTTTTGTTTTGTTTGAGTTATTCACGGAGTAACGTAATAATATTACTGTTTATTATTGTAATATTACTGTAAACACAATAATATTACTGTGGTTAACGGTAACAGTACTGTTGTTATAGTAATATTGTTGTCAACCACATCAATATTATTATTTTGTTTGGATATTTTTGTTTGTTTGAGTTATTCACGGAGTAACATAATAATATTACTGTTTATTATTGTAATATTATTGTGGTTGACGGTAATATTACTGTTGTTATAGTAATATTATTGTCACTCACAGTAATATTAATTATTTTGGCTCTTTATTATATTTACATTTGTTGAACAGTCAACATAGTAATATTACTCTATTACACAATAATAATGGGTTTTGTTGTGTTAATATTACTGTGCTAGCGGTTAATATAGTAATATTATTGTGTTAAACTGTGGTAAAGTTAATTTTACCGTGTTTAACAGTAATATAGTTAATATTACTGTCAATCACAACAATATTGCTGTTTAAACGAAAAAAAATGTTACAGAATTTTTTTTTCTTCAAAAAAATCAACGCTGGAGACCGACGTTGACTGCCGGAAACCGGTGGCGGAAAAAAAAAAAAAAAAAAGTTAACGCCGGAAACCGGCGAAAAAATCCGGAAGAAAAAACAAAAAAAAATCGAAAAGTCAACGCCGGAATCCGGCGGCAAAAAACAATTTTTTTGAAAAAAAAAAGTTTTGAGTCAAAATTGAATAATTTGTGAAATTTGGGGTCAAATTGAGGTTAAATTAAATTAATGATGAAATTTGAGCATATTAAAGTATGATGGGCTATTTTAGTCTTTTACAAAAATCTGAACCATGTGTGGATTTATTTGTAAATGAGTTTTTTGTCTGAATCTCTTTATGAATAAGTACCCATTGATGGCTTATTTGTAAATACCCCTAAAATATATGCTCTTGAGAGGGGATCACTATTTCAAATCCCAACTTTTGCTTACTTGAATACCAAAAAAATAAAAAATAAATAATTAATTGTAAATTACTTTAATACCCTTGATGAAAATTAAAACCAAAAAAATATTACAAACACTATTTTTCTTTCTTAAATACCAAATAATCAAAAACCCTAAAAAAACCATTTCCCTCCTCACTCACAAACCCCTCACCTCCTCCACCTCCTTCTCCCTCCCAAAAAACCCTCCTAAAAAACCTCAAAACAAAAGAAATCAAAACCTTACACAACTTGCAAAATGGCGTCAAATGACAATAGAATGGTAGTTTACGAGCAAGGAGAACCCATTAAGGTATGTATTCATGTATTTTTTGAGCTAAAACATCGATTTTGATTTTTTTTTTTTTTTTAAATTTGCCATCAATTTTCGACACTTACAGGTCGAAAATATGCTTATTTTTCGACATGTATGTGTCGAAAAACATAACAATTGATATTTTATTCATTTTCGACACTTAAGTGTCGAATTTTGCTACAATTTTCGACACCTAAGTGTCGAAGATGACCCATATTTTCGACACTTAAGTGTCGAAAATGACCTCTATTTTCGACACTTAAGTGTCGAAAATATGGGTCATTTTCGACACTTAAATGTCGATTTTGTGCCTGTTGCAAATTTACTTGTCTTATATTTTCGACACTTTTGTGTAGATCGATTGCACCCATTCATTTAACACGTCAGAAAAATTCCCAACAAAAGAAGCTTTATTGGCATGGGTTCGTGAAGTATGTAAAAGAATTGGAATGGTGTTAATGATTGCGGGTTCGAGTGATGGGGATAGAGGACGTAGGACACCATATGTGATTGTTTGTTGTGAGTGTGGGGGCCATTATGTTGGCAAGAAGGTACCAGGTGAAGATGATCACAGACCGGGAAAAAGGAGCACCGGTTCAAAGAAATGCAATTGTCCGTTTAAATTGAAGGGGACAAAAGAACACAAGGATGATGAAAAGGCTGAGTGAAAATTGGATGTTTATAGTGGTATTCACAACCACAACTTGTTTGAAAACTTGCACGGACACTCTTATGCTGGAAGATTATCAAAGGAGCAGACTTCCTTTGTTCACACTATGAAGAAAGCAATGGTGAAACCAAGGGCAATTCTAAGATCATTGAAGGAAAAGGACCCATCTATTGTAACTGGTATGAAGACAATTTACAATACTATATTTAAGTTAAATTTCAGTGAATTGTCTGGGAGATCTCAATTGCAATCATTGTTCGTCAAGTTGAAAGAAGATGAATACCTCTCGTACCATAGATCGAACGAGTTGAATGTGATTACTGACTTGTTGTGGATCCACCCGAAATGCATTAAGTTGGCACAGTCGTATCCGTACGTATTCGTCATCGATTGCACGTACAAGACCAATCGTTACGGACTCCCATTTCTTGAGATTGTGGGTTTTACTTGTACCAATATGACGTTCTCCATTGCCTTTGCATACTTGGATCACGAAAAGACGAAAAATTTCGAATGGGAGTTGCGTTGTTTGAAGGAGGCCATGACCAGTTGTCCTCGGCCTAATTGCATTGTAACAGATCGAGATTTGGATTTAATGAAAGCAGTGGCCAATGTGTATCCATCGAGTCATTACTTGCTGTGTCGGTGGCATGTGAACAAGAATATATTGGCCAATTGTGAGATATTGTTCACAAAGGACATCACCAAATGGAAGCAATTTCAGTCGGCTTTTTCGGCTCTTATTGAAAAAAATACCATAGAGGAGTTCAATGAGGATTGGGAGTCAATGAAAAGAACATTTATCAGTTATCCCCCGGCTATAGCATATGTAGCTAATTCATGGTTGGATCCGTACAAGGAGAGACTTGTATCGGTGTGGACAAATAAGTGTACTCATTTTGGAACGTACATTTCTAATAGGGTGGAGGGGGCACACGGACGAATGAAAAGGGATGTGCATAATTCAACTGGCACCTTTAAGGATTTGTATACGAAAGTCCACAACCAAATTGTCGAACAACACAATGACATCAAAGCTTCTTTTGAAGTAAGTAAAAATACTTACGAACACACTTTCAAAACGTTGACATACAATGAGCTTCGTGGAAGTATCTCAAAATACGCTCTGCAACTACTCAAAGTTGAGGTGGAAAATGCGAAACTATTGCAACCGAGCGATACGGGTTGTAGTTGCGCCATCCGAACAACTCACGGTCTACCATGTTGCCATGAACTTCATGAGTATGTTGTTGTGAACAAATGTCCTATCCCACTTGAGTTAATAGGCTTGTATTGGAAACACACGAGCATGGAGCCCGTCGCGACCACAGACGAAGTCATCCTACCAACCATCGACGAAGAATTATCGGAATACCAGAAGCTCTTTGAATGTGCCGATCTCGATGCAAAAACTCAATTGCGCAACCATTTGAGACATTTTACCCACCCAGAGAAGACTAACCTTACGGAGCCAAGTGAAAAAGTTGTTAACAAAGGTCGACCGGCAAAAAATAGGAAAGACAAATCAAGCACTCGTGACAAATCACATTTTGAGTACGTGGAGCCAAAGAAAAAAAAATCGAAGCAAGCTAGTTGTTCTCCAAAGGTAAATGTCGCTACTATCGTCTCATTTCATTGTAGTTGTTGTATTTTATAATTGTGCTAAGTAATTTTGTGTAATATACTGCAGCTTATACCTGTACTGATGAGATTACGAGGGCACTCGAATGATTCTATTAACACTATACCAACTCAAGAGTAAGGAAAAAGCACTATACCGACGCAAGAGTCGTTCAAACTATTATTTGAAGATGCAGATGTGGGATTGCCACCAGGTTTGATCGGCAAGAATAAGTACATTGACACGATCCATCCACGATTTCGTATGCATGTTCGAGAAATCATCAATGTCGGTTCAGATGGACACTGTGGATTTCGGGCAGTTGCCTCTATGATGGGATTTGGAGAAGATGAATGGGGTTGAGTACGAGATGACATGCTACGGGAGTTGACTTATAATTTTTCCACTTACACGGCCATGCACCGTGGCGAAGAAACCATTAGAAGCATGCAAACTATTGTGAGTAACTGGGATGTTCCTGCCACTCGTGACCATTGGATGTCTTTTCCAAATATGGGTCATGTAATTGCTTCAACATACAATATTGTGCTTGTCTACTTATCCAAGTATCAGTGTCTCACGTTCCTTCCTCTATCGAGCGATCCAATGTTTTTCAGAGAGAGACAAGAGCACGGAACGGCATTCGTCGACAACTGTCACTTCGTGCATGTTGTCTTGAACAACAATTGTCCAATACCTCCTATCGCCGATTATTGGTACCGATGCCATGAACCTACAGCTGATGGTTGGAAGCCTGCAGCAATGGATGGTCGGATTACAGCATTCCGAGAACTAATAGGTCAAAATGTTGCCACGCGAGAGAGTTTCGAAATTGACTATATCAGACAATGGTGATAGTTCTCCGACGCACATGCGCAGCAGCACCGACTATGAGAAATCCACCAATCCACATGTGATGTGTGAACAATGACAGTTGTGTACCATAGTCAGTAGCTAGATATGGATAAGGGGGCATGGAATACATATGGTGAGCTACAACAATGGTTAAAGAGCCCAACATGGCTAGGTTAAGAGATAATTGAGCATGCCATGACGTTGTTAGGATTTCATATAAGCCTTTATGGCCCTGGCCTGTAAATGGACCTTTATGAGCTTCTAAAATATCTTTTAGGCCATGACCAATGCCCCAGTTACTGGTGCTAGTTTCAACGTTATTAAGTGTTGTGTTTTATTTTTCAGTTTTTTTTTTTGATAAATTGCAAATTTTTTTTTTTTTTTTTTTGTGAAATTAACCCCAAATATATTGCAATGTAACATAAAAAACATATTCTAAGTGTTTTTGGACAAAAAAATTAAAATTTCAAATTATCGAAAAAAAAAAAAAATGAAACAACATCGTTTCGACAGCTACCTGTCGAATTTCTATTAAAATTCGACAGCTAGCTGTCGAATTTAGTCTGTTTCAATTTTTTTTTTTTTTTGATAAATTGCAATTTTTTTTTTTTTTTGTGAAATTAACCCCAAATATATTTGGATGTAACATAAAAAACATATTCTAAGTGTTTTTGGACAATAAAAATTAAAATTTCAAATTATCGAAAAAAAAAAAATGAAACAGCCTCGTTTCGACAGCTACCTGTCGAATTTAGTCTGTTTCAAATTTTTTTTTGTTGATAAATTGCAATTTTTCTTTTTTTTTGTGAAATTAACCCCAAATATATTGCAATGTAACATAAAAAACATATTCTAAGTATTTTTGGACAAAAACAATTAAAATTTCAAATTATCAAAAAAATTAAAATTTCAAATTGTCAAAATTTGTGAAAGTTGGACCTCCTTATCGGTACCACCCCCTGGACGAGCTTCACGTGGTCGAGGTCGATCCGCCTGGGGTCGAGGTGGATGGGCTCCATGCCTACTGAGTTGTAACATGCATCTGGGCCGGAACCAATTCATGTAGTCCGGCGAAGTGTCCGCCCTACCGAGTTCAACTTCAACGGACCTCGACTCCTCGTCCAAACAATACTCCTCCCACCGATCAGAGAATCGTTCGCCATACGCAGCGAATATTGAGTTCTGGACTGATCGACCTTTGTTAACTAGAGCTTTGTACATATCTTTTGACATGTATACACGACCTGGAATTATTTGCACCCGGTTGAACTGCCTCAACACTCTGTCCGGATGATATGCCTCGAAGTGGTCCATGCAACATATCATCCCACTAAACCAAGCAGAATCTGGCATCGGGAAACGATCACGAATAGCCGTATACGGTGACCATAAAACCTAGTAAAATAAATACAAAATTAGATTTAGAAACCTACTTAAGTAGTAATAAGAAATTATTAAACTGGTATTTTACCTGATCGGGGATCAAATCATCTAATCGAGATCGCAAGTACGACGCTCGTTCAGGCGTTGAAGTAGTCTTTGACTGAGGCTCCCATCGGCTCGCTAATGGCCCCTCGAATTCTGTCTTCAATGTGCCACCCGCCAAATAAGGAAAGTGCTCGTAAATCCATGATTGAAAGAGCGTCAGCCAGCCAGCCATCGAGTTCGTTGATTTTTGTGAGGCTGACGAAAGCTCATCGTACAACCGGCAAAGACATGCAGTGCCCCAAGCATACTCGCCGATCCGATCCAAATCAGAGACGAGATTTAGATACTCCACGCTTACCATGTTGCCTGTCTTGTCACACAATATAGTACACCCGAGCAAAAATAACAAATACGCACGAATGGCGTATGTCCTCTTATCAGCACTATCTCTCGTGGTCACCTTGCTAAATTTAGTCTTCAACCATTCCAGTTTCACCGCTTTCTTCTTGTCTACATCGTCCGGGTACTCACCTAGCAACTCGAACATCAAACTACTGGGCTTCGTTTTAGAATCACGGATCAAACGCTCGCAAGATACGGTACGTCCAACAACTGACAAACCGACCAACGTACTCACATCATCAAGTGTGATGGTCATCTCTCCAACATGTAAATGAAATGTGTTGGTAGCTGGCTGCCATCTCTCTATGAAGGCTCTAAGTAGATGGCCGTTCACAGTGTTGTACGATGCTTCTACAACTGACATTAATCCAGCTCTTTGTACTGCCTCTGTAATAAACGGCGCCGGCACCCAGCCTTTCAAAGTTCCTGTGTGATTTCGAATTCGAAATTCTGAGCCGCGCTCCGAGCGCTCTGGCCCTCCGTTCACAATATGATAAGCAATGTGCTTATCAAAATTTGTGTACAATTCCGGTATCTCGGGACCTCGGACCGGTTCGTTGCTCGAATCACCAACTTCTACAGTCGAAGGTAGAGCCGGCACCGGATTCGTTGAGGAAGAACCCTCTCCAGACTTCTTCTTGGTCGTGGTCTTTTTCTTGGTCGTGATTGCCTTGCCCTTGCCTCTATCGGATAATTCCTTCCTCTTCTTACGGTTCGAGACAGTCGGAGGTATACGAGGTTCAAGTGGTTCTTCCACTGCAAAATAACACACAAATAAAAATAAATATACATAATATAAACACAAGCAAATAAAAATAGGAAAGAAAACAAATTAATAAATTACAAAAAAAAAATTACACAAACATAATTCGACAGCACACTGTCGAAAATTGGTTGAACATTCGACAGCTAGCTGTCGAATTTTCAACCAATTTTCGACAGTGCGCTGTCGAATTATCAAAAATTCAATTCAAAGATTTCAAAACATTCGACAACTATATGTCGATTTTGGATGAATTTTCGACATCAATCTGTCGAAAATTTTGAAAAAATCGACATATACAGGTCGAATATTGTGAACGAAGAACCGACCCACTGATCTCAAATCAATGCTCAAATCGACTGAATTCAGATGCACCCATTACTAATTAACGACCATTCTTACCTAAAACAACCAAATCCTAATTACTCATATCAAACAATCAAATCCTAAATAAATATTAAAGAAAACAAAATCGAAAACAAATATTACTTGTATTCGAAGACGGCGGCGGCTTGATAACAATGGATTCAGCGGCGGCGGCGTTGGGCGACGTTCGGCGGTGTTTGGCGGCGGCGAGGGTTGGAGCGGCGGCGGCAAGGGAGGGTTGGACAGTGGAATGAAATGTTTTTTATTTTCTTTTTTTTTTATTTGGTTTTCAAATAGGTAATTGCAAAGAAAAATTGATATAATTGATATTTTGTATGAAAGGGTGTTTTTGTACTTTTCTTTTTATTTTGGTATTAAAGTAAGAAAAAAACTTATAAATATACTCAATTGTGGTTTTTAACTTAGTAGTATTCAAGTAAGCAAAAGTTGGGATTTGAAATAGTTGCCCCCTAATATGAAATCACCTCAAATGAGAATAGTTTGAAAGGTTAATGACATTTTTTCCCCTTTATACTTTGACGCGCTTTGCACGTTACTCCCAAACAAAAAAGTTGCACGATGCATCCCAAACTCTATTGTTCGGAGCACCAGTCACGAAATCAAGAATTTTCTGCCAAAATCTAACTTGAAATGCAGGTTTGCCAATCACACGTGATTTTTAGGGGCAAAATCATCACATAAAGATGATTTTTAGGGGCTGCATCTTTATGGGTTGTCTTAGAGTTTTCATATAGTTGATTTTGGAGAAACAAACAAAAAATTGTTGTTTTCAGTAATTTTATAGTTAATTATGGAAAAAAACTAAAAAATAAAAAAATAAATTTTTAAAAAAACCCCCCAAAACATTAGGATATATTAAGGTGGATTTACACCCTTTTACAATATTAGTGAGAACCCCCTTAATTATTTAATTAAATTAATATTATTACAATTATTAAATATTATACCTATATTATCCCTAATTACCAAATCTTATATTTACAAACCCTAGCCACATCGTCCATCACAAACCGCCATTCTCTAATCCCGGCCCCCTGATCTTTTCTCTCCCCTCATCTTTTCTCTTCTTCTTTTCTGGAATCGATCAGTAGTATCGACGGCGGCGATGAAGGTGGCAAAGACGGCGTCACATCTCAACAACGACGAGGTAGACCCCAGCCAGGGGCGGATCTAGGGGGTGGCCAAGTATGCCATGGACCACCCCAAATAATGAAAATAAATTTGTCTTAGTGGCAAAGATCTTCAAGTTGTTAGATAAGGTTATGAGTTCAACTCCATTACAATACAAAAAAGTATTGTTTAATTTTTCTATCTAAATTTCTTTTGAGCCCCTCTTCCATAAACACATTATATTATATCTATATTACTATTTAGTCCACTCAAAATTCAAAATATACAAAAAAAGTCCTAACCTTTTTTTTTAGCCCTCTCCCCAAAAACACATTATATTATATCTATATTATTATTTAATCCACCCAAAATTCAAAATATACAAAAAAGTCCTAAATTTTATCTTGTTTTTTTAGCCCCTCTCCCCAAAAACACATTATATTATATCTATATTATTATTTAGTCCACCCAAAATTCAAAATATACAAAAAAATTCTCAAATTTTTCTTCTCCTAATTTATCCAAAAAAAAAAAAGTTTCAATTTTTTTTCACTTCTCCTAATTTATCCAACAAAAAAAGGTTAATTTTTTTTTCCCAGGGGCGCTGCCCGCGAACCCCTGACACTACAAGAATACCGGCTTTTAATAGAATAATTCTATAGCGTTTTTTTCATTAGTGCTATAACAACCTTTTTGATTAAATAATTTGTTAATAATAACAATAAGAAACGCTATGGTATATATGTATTTCTTTTTGTCGGGGATCCATATATTAAAGCGGGTCACTTGAGAACTTTTCCAGTTCTCTCTCTCCCTGCCCCCATCGTTCAAAACCTCTACTCCGTCCTCTGTGAAACCGCTGCCTCTATCAATATCAAATCTCCAAAAAACTCTCACTCGACTCTCTATCACTCAACCGAATTGCAGGGAATTCTCTATCGCATCTCCATTTTACAAGGGTACACAAAATCCTTTCTAGACGGCAATTTATCAGCGCCATCTTCCCGATTTTGTTTTCTTTATAGACGGTAAATCTCAATATTTGTCTCGTTGTGTGTATAATTACCCTTATTTATTGTTTTTTTAACCCTAATTTCAGTTAATTGAATCTTTCTTTACTCTGTTTTCTTCTACGATTTTTTGTATTATTATTTAGTTACCATAAGGGATATACAAATAAATGGGTAATTCTTGTTACAGTAGAATATGGATAATTATTTTTGATTAATTGGTGCAAACATGAGTGCTTCACTCCAAACTTAAGCAAATATGAAAATAAGAGTATTTGTTTTTATTTGCGATTTGTGTATATAAAGAAATCAAGATTTTATCACTCTAGAATATGGATAGTTGTTAGGAACAGTGATTTTTGTATAAGTTGAGGATGGTATTGCCAAATTGTTGGCTTTGAGGATTTTCTGCGTAAGCAACATAATATGTTGATTGACATAATCATGTATCTAATCTGTTTAATGAAGAGTAGATTAATCCCTGTATCCAAAGCCGGTTCGATAATATACTTCCAGAGTCATTGCATTCAATAAAAAAAATTCTCAGGGAGTTTCATATAGGGTGAGGATAAGTAATTATGATTCTATAAGTTTTGAAATATTATTTTCATTAGTTAACTACATCCAAATCATTGGTTTTAGGTTAATCAAATTGAAGAAGTGGATAATGCATCTTGAAAGGTACTTCTCTTTTACTTAAATAATAAAGTCAAGTAATGACTCTTTACATGAACGGTTGTACGAATATATACATTAATGTATACCGGCACCTTAAACTGAAGTTATATACACACATATAACATACAGTCATTAGTAGTAGTGCTTGAGAATTTATTTACAAAATATTTTACTTCATTTTACATTTTGGTAGAAACTAGAGAATGTACATATTTCACCAACTTGCTCTATCACGAATAAGGTTCGTATTTAATTACTTCTTGTACTTCATTCCTTAGATAATTTCAAATATTACACAATGGAACAATTTTAATAGTTTGATTAGTTTATTGATTGTCAGTGACTATTTCGACTCAAATCTTATTTGCAAGTTAGTAGATTGGAGTGGAACAAATGAAATAGTTGATGAAGGATGTGTGATATCAACTGATCCAAAAGAAGTTGTCGGTCAAATTCCACTTGGACCTAATGCAATGTAAGTTTTGGTTGATATTCAAATTAAACCCATATACTTTTTGTGGAGGCCTACTGTGTATGACTCGTATTCAACACACTCAGGGTATGACAATAGCTTGGCCTGCCGAGAGGTTTATTCGGTAAGTTTACCAATAGTCTAATGAATGAAACAATCATAATTTGATATGATTTATTTTTTTACATGTCAATTTTGTAAAAAATAGTTATGATTGATATGCACTTATTGTTTGTTGGAACAAGTGCAAATTGATTGATGAGAGTTAGGAAGATGAAGTGATTGCAGAAGAAATTTAAATGCACAAAATGTTTTGCTTTCACATAGTTAATGTTTAAAATCCGTTTTCACATTCTTTCGTTGATTTTTTTGAGTTTTAAGTTTACAAGATTACTGTTTTTAAATAATCAGTGCCATTTTTAGTCATCCCAGCTAGTGTCACTTATGGTTAGGTTATAGAGGTTGCAATATACTTTTTATGTTTGTTTGGTGCACTTATTTTGTTAGATGATTGTGATCGATAAGTACTCATTTAGCTCAATTTAGTTAGGTAGTTCAATCTTCAATATACTGGATACAAGACTTATTCATTATTTTGTATCTTTGTTGTAATATTTTCCAAATGTAATGTAATTTTAATTTTGTTAACAGGAAATGGAGAAATTAGAAAGTCGCTATGCAACGGAAGCTTGGTTTGGAGAGCTTGAATGTGGATTTAATGATGGTTCATGTTTCTTTCTTTTTTTCTTTTTTTTTCGGTTTTATTTCAAACTGCTGCGATTTAGAATGATGTTTTGGTAGTATTGACTTGAATATTACCGAATCATATTAACGTAATATGATATTCATATTTTATTTGGGTTGTTAATAATATCCTAAAGGTTATTCTTTTATAACGTGTTTTCAAATTCTAAATACTAGTAAATAGTAACATCTAAAAAAATTATATTCCAAAATTTGGGATATTACTGTAGCATTGACCAATTGCTACGAAAAATATTGCATAGCACTAGATTAATGCTAATGTAATAGTACAAGTATAAGAGCGTGTGGGAAATGCTACTAAAGCCTTACAACTGCACAAACAAAACGCTATTGTTTCACCCTACTGTATGATAGCGTTTTGCAATTGCTATAGCCAGATTATAATAGCATTCTCGAAATGTCATAAAAAACATAACATGACAGTAATTAAACGCTATCGAATGTTTAGTTACCATAGCGTTTCTCAATCGCTATAGTATATTTGAGATACCATAGCGTTTTGTACACGCTATAGTAGAGATCGGACCTATTATAGCTCCGACAGACATAGCGTTTTTAAAAACGCTATGGAATCCTATCATAGAGTTTTGTGAGCGCTATTGATAGGGTTTTGTGTTGTAGTGCGAAAATTGAAACCCCACAGTACAGTAAATTCTTGGACTCGGCACAGCCGGCATACCCTGAATTTTCGTCCTGGATCCGCCACTGACCCCAGCCCCTTCTCTTCTTTCTCGAATTGGGGATCCGATGGCGGCGGAAGAGAGAGCGAAGGAGAGGACGAAGGCAGCACCATATCTCGACAACGACAAGGCGCCGCCGCCAAAACGAGGACGGGACAGATGCTTTTTTCGGTCCCTCCTCTTTCATTTCCGAGGGATGAACATATCTGGTACTTTTGTTTCCCCCTTCAATTTTTGGAAGCATTCTTGCAATCCTCGTCGGAAGACCACTCCACCACCGTTGTAATGGCATCGATCGACCGCGAGGAGGATGACGAAACCTTGGGCTGCATTTTCATGTGAGAATCGCAACCGCCGACGCTCAACCGTAACCTCGGATGCCGTTAACATAAGCGGATCTGCTTCGTCCGTTATGTTTGATATTGTTTGGGAGGCTGATTATCGTTCAATTAATTGTAGAATGTATGTTCCTTTGTTGAAATTGTGTTCATGTTGGTCGAAAAGATATAGTTGTTTTCGTTACGGTTGTAGTTGGTTTCGATAATAGTCGTTTTTGTTGGAGTTCTAGTGTGTATTTTTTCTTTTGTTTTAGTTGATTTTAATAATTTCTAGTTGATTCAATATAGTTGTTTTCGAATAGTAATATAGTTGTTTACGTATAGTAATGTAGTTGTTTTCGCAAAACAATATTGTTGTTTTCATTACTTTTTAGTTGGTTTGAATAAATAGTTAATTTACCATATAGTTGTTGGAGATGTTTGATTAAATAATTAGTTAACCTTAATAAATAGTCAAACTGATGTATAGTTGTTTTAATACCAATTGTTTTAATAACAGTTGTTTTTAATAATAGTTGTTTTATAGAAATATAGTTGTTTAACTGAAAAATAAAAAAATATATAGTAAAAAAATATTTAAAGAAAAATATTTAAAAATAAAAAAAGATTTTTTTTTAAAATAAGAAATAAAAAAACCGAAAATTAAAATTAAAATAAAAAATTAAAAAAATACATCAAACTAGTGGATAATGGGTAGAGAATAGTTGAGAATAAAAAAATAATGGGTCTCTCACTAATAAAGAAAAAGGAGCTAGATCCATCCTTATTAAAATAATGTTAGAGGGGGTTCTCACTAATAGCCCCTAATTAATATAATTTTCTTGTTAATTTAAATTTAAATATTATGTGACCAGAATTATTTATAACATTTTATATCATTTGTGTTATTACTAATATTTAAATAAGGGGCTCTTTGAGAAAGCCCTCTATTGCTTATTTTAATAGGAAGATGCCCAAAATAATTTCCTCCATTTGAGAAAAACCCTCACCCATTTTCAGCCACTTTTTTTTTTTCTAATTTTGCTCTCGCCCGCCACATCATCATTGCGTGCCCACATCATCATCGCGTCACACACTGGTCATCAACTTTTTTTTTCATTATTTTAGTATTTCTTTTTTCGAATCAGTTTTATTAATAATCGACTATGAAGCATAGTCGGTTAAGGAAGCACAATCGATTAAGGAAATTCTTTAATTTTTAATTTTTTCAATTTTTTATTTTATGTTATTTTTTATTTTATTTTTGTTTTAACTATTTTTTTCTCATTCAGTTATATTAATCGCCTATGAATCATAGTCGATTAAGAATCTGACTACTAAAAATAACAAATCACAATTACAAAAAATACAAAATCAATTATATTTAAAAAAAAATATACAAACATTATTATTGAATTATACAATTGGAATCAATACACAAAAAAATCAAAACAAAAAAATAAAAAAAATTGAGTCAATTAACCTTAATCGACTGCTGAACAGTCGATTAAGCTTTAATCGACTATTGAACATAGTTGATTAAACCACACGTAGTCGATTATGTTGGGATGTGAAGCCCAGGACAGTGGCGTATCCAATGATTTTGAAAAAAACATATTCCATTTATATTATGTAAAATATTGGTGATGAGATTTTGTAGGTGAACTAGTAGAGTTCTACCTACAAATACAAAGAGGTGCAGAGTTCGAGACTTTTATTAGCCCCTCTATTTTGTATTTTCAAAGTTTTTTTTATTTCTAATACATATAATATTTCAAAAAATCAAAATCTTAATTTCCATTCCTTTAATATTTTTTTATTAATCTATTTTATTCCACAATTCTTGTATACATATATGCTTTTTTTTTTTTCTAATACATATAGTATTTTCAAAGTTTTTTTTTTCTAATACATATAATATTTCAAAAAATCAAAATCTTAATTTCCATTCCTTTAATATTTTTTATTAATCTATTTTATTCCAAAATTCTTGTATACATATATGCTTTTTGTTTTCTAATACATATAATATTTCAATTTTTTTCAAAATTTTTTAATATGTGGGTATTTTTGAATATTTCAAAAAATCAAAATCTCCTAATAAAACATATATTTTGCTATTTGCAACTTTAATTTATTTACCATTCCTTTAATATTTTATATAATCTAAATTATTCCAAAATTCTTAATTATATATATATGTGTGCATTATTACAATTATTTTCAAAATTTACAACTATGTGGGTATTTTTTTTTTATATTTTAAAAATTCAAAATCTGCTAATGAAATACACATTTTGTCACTTACAAATTTAATATGCTTACCACTCCTTAAATATTTTCACCAATTTTATGTCTAAATATTTCCTAAATTAGCCCAAAATTTGTAAAATAATCCCTTTAAATTCCCAAAATTTGTAAAATAATCCCTTTAAATTTGAAAATATTACATATTTTTATTATTTAATGTGTATAGTATTAAAAAAAAAATCGGGGAAGCTGCCCCCGAACCCCCGTAAACCTTTACATTTTTTACATATTTAATTCCGAACACCCTTGGCAAAAATCCTGGATTCGCCACTGGCCTAGGAGTCAATGAAAATTCGCAAGAGGTTCTAGATTAGGCGATTTTAATTTTGTTAACATGCTTTGATTAGATTCTTTTAAAGCGGAATAAATCTAATCTAGCAACTTACAGTTTTAGCGAGCAGATTCGTTTCTATCATCGGCGCACGAACGAGGATCCACACCAAGCCTTCAATCCTCGAAAAACTGTTGTCCAAACATTTACAACCTTCTTCCTTCACCAATATTTCCGAGATGGTTAATCTGATGGAGAAACACTTCGGAGATATTATAGTACTATGGGTTAGAAAGCTATTGTATAAATTTCAAGCATATCGGATGAACGGTTAATTTATGGTGAACTGCGAAGTGAACTTCTTCGCAGGACTGCTCAGGAATTTCGGGAATAATAGTTTGCTCTAAAAACCTATAATATTCTATTGTATATGAGAAACTTAGAGAGAAAAGAAGTTGAGAAAAATATTTTCTCTCTAGAACGTGTATATGCCTATGTAATTATTCATCTCTCTCATCAAACTAATCTCTATTATATATAGCAGAGGGAATTAGAGTCACACATAGAGAAGATTACATGGAAACAAATCTCACTCCTTCTATAACTCTATATAGTCGAAAATTGCAATCCAATGGGGACTTAATTTTCGGCTATATTAATTCCAATATATATTATTGGTTGAATTTTATTTTCTCGATTAATTAGAAAATCCATTGGGCTACAATAGGGACTAAAGGAGAAATTATAAATCAGGCAACTAATAATTAATTAAATCCAAACTCTTTAAAAGAATTCATTTAATTAATCATTAAATATTATTTATTTTCCACTACCAAATAATTATTGAACTCTTGTTTATATTCTCAAATATTACATTCGAGCTCCGGTCGATCATTACTTAGATTCTCCCCACATTAAGATATCTTATAACCACCAAATAATGTATTCACTGTTAAATAAATTAAATGATTTCTTTTCATGAGTCTTACCCGCTTAACTTATTTGAGTATACCGAATACGAAATTCCACCTGGCCAGGACTTGGCATAAACAAATCTTATAAGCTACTCAAGGGTTATTATCAATCTCATATTTCAGAGATGTGGATTCCTTTCGGTAATTGATTTCCGCCTATTAATTCTTAATGTCTCTACCCAACGCACTGGGGGCCATTTGACTCAATATAGGAATCTCTCCCATTGTGATATCAAAGTAGAAATCATCAATTAAATATGTACGTTAATTATCAAGGGATTAAGAGAGTACGTAATTTATTGTCAACTAGAAATAATACAGTTTCATTTTGAACAGTGTTGAAACAATTATTTCACTTTTTCCGGTTCAACACATGTCGGGTGTGCTAGCACAATAAGTCAAAACAATAACTACAAAAGTTATTCTTTGTTTACTGTGATCAAGACCAATCACTTAAATATTGTGCTACAATCTTTTATCAATGGTTAGTCCATTTTCATCTAGATTGTGAACGTTTATCTTTATATTCTAAACGAATTTTCGAAATGATCTTTCTGTGCGCCGTAGCACACCATC